GTGAGCATTGAAGTCCCCCAGCAGAACAAGAGAGTCCCCAGAATGAGTGCTCTCCAACACCCCTTCCAGGGACTGTAAAATGGGTGGGTACTCTGAACTGCCGCTCGGTGCATAAGCGCAAACAACAGTCAGAACCCGTCCCCCCACCCGAAGGCGAAGGGAGGCTACCCTCTCATTTCAAACGACATCACCCTGGTGTGACAGGAGCTAAGACGAAGGCTGCGCAACAACCGCTGATATCCGTGGCATTTAAGCAGCCCTTTGCTGCCCAATCCGACCGGGCTAAAGCTATTACAAAAGCTATTGGGGTGTTTATAGCTGCAGACATGAGGCCATATTCCGTTGTGCAAAACAAGGAGTTTAAACATATGATGAACATGCTTGAGCACGCTCTGATATCCCGTCGTGCACCTACTTCAGTGACAAGATAAGCTCACGTCTGCTTTGCTTTCTTCTTTTTTGATGATGTAAACATAAGCTAGTTTTTACTTCATTCTCCGTATTCAAAGTAAGAAGCAATGATGCCTTAAATTGCATTTTAAGTTGTTTTTGATTGTGTCCACATTAAAGGAAATAATTATCATGCCCTATATTGCACCTTAATTTGTTTTTATATAATTGCGTGGAATCAGTCTTGAGTTGAATGTTTTTTAATGGCCAAAAAATACTTAAATAAATGGAGAGTTACATTTGTGTTGTCTTTTTTCTTTTTTTTGCTGATGTGAAAATTGATCCGATCCGTGACTTAAAACCGTGATCCGATCCGCACCGTGAGATTTTTGATCCGTTGCACCACTAGTTATTAGCAGACTGTTTTATTGTACTTTCCTTTACAATACGTTTAGCTTATCACAGTGCATTGCAGTCACAAAACATTTACGTAGTTTTACACAATGTGTCGACACTAAAATTCCACGTTGACGCATTTTTATAATCGACATCGTCAATTACGTCGAATAATCATCCCAGCCCTAATCGTTAATTTGCATGCATTTCCCGAAACCCTTCGTAACTAAAGCACATTAGAACCTTGGAACTTAAACGTCTTTTAACTCCACCAACTTGGACATCAAATGGATCTGTTGAATTTTTTTCCACTTGTACCTCGACCAAAATTGCTAAAACTAACATGGGTTGAGCTGGACTTTTCCTGTGATTGTCCATTCATCTCATCCATCTCGACTGAATGACAAGAGTATGATTGAGATTTTTATTGTGGTGAGGGGAGTAGTATGTTGCATACAGTCTTATGATTGTGTGCCATGTGTGGTAGTGTGACAGTTTAAATAGAACTGTGACAAAGAGACTGCATTTGATGGTATGTCAATATGAATGACACGAGCCTTTGCACTGCATGGACAGCTATTCTAATTGTAATGCAAACAGTAAGTCTGCTTTAAATACAGCCATTATCAGTTGGATTTTCATATAGCCCCAGGTGTTTTTATCCTCTGCACTTAAAAGAATAAACATGAATGACTGTGAACATCAAATAAAAAGTTCCTTCAAATCCATCAGTAACTGTCCTATTTAGTAATAACGTATTTACCACTCCCAGTGTAGAATACTGCTGTTTCAGTTTGCTTCAGTATTTATATTAATGTCATTTTGGATACTATGTTGGACCCGATGTTGGACACTGGGAGGACATGCTGAGTGCCGTGTATTGGGTGCTGTTTGTAATACAACCCTGGATTACGTCGTGTTGTTCACTATATTGGCACCATGTTGGAAAATAAATGTGTTACCACTCTACAGTGACGTCTCGGCGGTGTGTAAAATCAGGCTGACATCAAAGCAATTCTCTGGCTTGCAGGCTTAAACTAACCGAATTCTCCAAAACTCTACCATAACCGGGATTTGGGGGATGATGATGACACTCTCAGTGTCTCTCTAAGTTGAGATTCCAGGGCTCTGTCAGAATAAAGTTTGAAATTGTGTTTTTTATTAAATGGTCTTAATTGCTTCTTAAAATACTGTGAAATAGCATGCATACAGTACTTCATTGGTGTTAAGCACGGTTATTTGACTTTTTTTTTTCTCTTTCTCGAATCAAGTCCCTTTTCATTAGCATGTAAATGAATTGTGTCTTGCATCAGAACTGTCCAAACCTGCATGTCACACCAGTCATTGTATGGATGCTTTAAGATGCTCTTGCATTGTGAGATTGCCATGTTTGTGCATACAGACCGTTTGGAGAGGGGTAGAGGTTTTGTTCTGGGTGTTTGTACAGCTCCTTGACTTCTAGTAGTGCAGACAGAGATTTGATTTAAACGTAAAGTAAGTTCATTGCTCACTGTTGTGTGTGAATGCCGTTCCTTAAAGCTGATGTGCAGGAATCTGATGAAATTTTAATAGAGCAATGTTTGCAAGATGCGTTTCTAATGACATTAAAGTAATGCCACACAGCAGACATTTTTCTAATGTTTAGTACGCGGGTGTGTGAAACAATATGGGTCACCGTTATTATGGATCACCAGGGAATTATCGGCGGTAACTATCAGCTCATTTTTAACCAATACACTTGGTACATCTTTACCAGTGATTAAAATTGTGTCTAAAATAGCACAGAGGTCCTGTGAGTGCAAAACACCTACAGGTTTTTATTGTCTGTGTGCTTCCTCAGGCCCTCTGGCTGCATGCTGGTGGATACCCTGGAGAATGTGCCCTCAGAGCTGCAGATCTGCGCAGACTGGCTGCTATCCTACTTCCAGAATCCACGGTCTCTACAAAAAGGGCACATGCCAGCCCTTCACCATGCCATCCTGCTGGAAGGTAGGTAACAGTCAGCTCAGGGTGATCACTCAATGTCCTTGTATCGCATGAAGGCTGCTTATCAGCATTGAGATGTGAGGCTTCACCTGGAGCCTTACCCTGGGCATTCTGGCAGGGAGAACCAAAGGGGGGCAGTTTAGGGCCCTCATGTCATTTCATTGTTTTATTGTTTTTAAAGTTACTGCATAGTTAGTTCATATTTATTGTTTAGCAAAATACACTCACCTAAAGGATTATTAGGAACACCATACTAATATGGTGTTTGACCCCCTTTCGCCTTCAGAACTGCCTTAATTCTACGTGGCATTGATTCAACAAGGTGCTGAAAGCATTCTTTAGAAATGTTNGGTGTTCCTAATAATCCTTTAGGTGAGTGTATATCTTGTCCTTTTATTAAACAAACTAAATAGCCTTATGTTATTTATCTTATTTACAGTTCATCATTGTAGTATGCACACACAACCGGACACATTTTAAAACAAAATTTGCCGCCTGCCGTTCACGGGTTTTTCCTCACCAATCGTCTTATTTGCGCCGTTCAGTCACTAAAGTCTATAGCGTTTCACAAGAGCGCAAGCCGGCGCATTTTTAGCGTAAAATGTGGAAAAGGCTTTTTCTCCGCAATAAATGTTCACTTTCTTTATTCGTAATAAATAAACTTGCTCACATGCTCTCTCCCACGGTCACATATGTGTATCAACATTAAATAACATTACAGAATTATTTAATAATATTCTGAGTAGCAGCAGCAGTAGTCTGTGCTTTTACATTAAAAAAAACTGGAGTACTGAATACATTATCTAAAGCACCATGCTGGTTGCACTTTATTTTTCATTACATTGATTCAACTGCTACAAAATTTTATTTTTTTTTGTACACTCAATGTGTCATACATTTATTTTTTTATATGAGTTGCTGGAAACAACCTTTGTACAAAAATAGTTTGGGTTATTTAAAAATGCTGGAAATGAAATTGGTTTTGCCCCTCCCCCCGATTAATAATCAATTAATCTAAGAAAATAAATAAATAGATAAGTAATTAATCTGTCGATTAATTACTTATGTTAAAGTGCCTCTTAAAGTGCTCTAAACATTCTATATTCCACTCCAGGCTCTGTGCCTGAGCCAAATCATTTTCGATGGCTTTGCGCACTTTGTCATAGAGGTCGGGAATTATAACATCACTGAAATGTGTACGGCAGGGCACAGCATAACGTGGGTCGAGCATTTTAATTAAGTTGCGTAACCCTGCATGTTTGACAACAGAAAAGGGTTGCAAATCTTTAGCAATGAATGTTCCCACTGCACGGGTTAGTTTTCTTATGTTTATCGGATGTGGCAGGGTATGTCCATCCATCCATCCATTATCTCCCGCTTATCCGAGGTCGGGTCGCAGGGGCAGCAGTCTCAGCAGGGAAACCCAGACTTCCCTCTCCCTGGCCATTTCATCCAGCTCCTCTGGGGGAATCCTGAGGCGTTCCCAGGCCAGCCGAGAGACATAGTCCCTCCATCGTGTCCTGGGTCTTCCCCGGGGCCTCCTCCCAG